TCCAAATAGACATGGCAGGCCGTTGTGGCATGAGAAATTCCTCATAACCACTCAGGAGGAATTAGATGCCATGGTCGAATTTTTGATCATCAATAACATTAAACAAGCAGATATGTTTGTTTATACCCGAGGCGGTCGAAGGCGCTGGAGGTCATTCTGGAGATAGCCAAACATATGGTATCCACGGTGGAAGTGGATTATACAAAGATCATTGCTATCAAGGATCGCTTTAACCCCAATTTTTCCAGGAAATGGGAGGATCATGATGATCGCTTAAGACCCCATTTCCTTATACATGCATCTCTTTATAAAGAGTCTAAGTAGGTGACACATTGTATTATCCTAAACAAATGAAAATAATCAATACGATTAACAATTAACAATTTTATTTTACAAACCACTAATTTACGTTAACAAAATAAAAAATGATAAATGAGGATAATTTATATGTACCTTGTGATCGTTCCAAACATCCCTTGAACGATGGTTATCTTGGTCGTATAGCACGAATGGATTAATCGGTTCTTGATCAACATAATATATTTGGTTGTATATATCTACATCCTCCCCAACCTATGATAGCATAACAACAACATAAATTAAGTAGTATATAGATTCAATAAAATAATTATAACAATAACAACAAAAATTTGGTAAAATGAGTACGTACCGCTTGATACTTGATAGTCATCATAATAAATACCCTCTTCTTCGAAAATATCAGTCGTTTATGCAAGTAGCCGGACAGAGATTCGACAGGTTATGAAGGAAAAACCAAAAAAAAATAAATGTTATGGCAGTTCGGACTTAGCCGCAACCAACAGACCACTATTTCCTAGATTTTTGGGTGAAGAGGGGGATGGATAAGGAGATAATCTTAGAGATAAAGAGACGAATGAGTTTTGGTGTGAAGAATGAAGGAGGGGGAGGGGGTTTATATAGGATTCTGACCGCCTAGTCGGGGGGTTGGTCATTTTACACCAAAAGAAATCGCACCGCGCCTCCTGCCCACGGTATCCCTTTCCCAACACGCAAATCGTGCCATCGACGAGCGGTTATCAAGGCGAGACGCGGATCGTTGAGCTGGCAGGCGGTCTCCCGTCGAATCACTCCCTCATCCAACGGTTCCGGGGACTGTCACGTGGGGGCGCGTTTTTTTTGGCAGCTCTAAGGGAAACCACTCCTTCTGCATGCGTTTCTCACACAAAACCGCCTCCCCATGTGACACTTTTCAAAGAATGGTGATAGTTTTGGCATTTTTTCGGGTTCGATGGTATTTTTGTAATATTTTTTTAACATTGGTATTTCTGGAAAAAAAAAACCATTTTTCCATCTAAAAATCTGCTAATTTCATTTAGTCAGCAATCCCACCAGTATCCATGTAACACTTTAGGCAAATCCCACATCGACAAAGCATGGGAGAGATCCATGGTTCATAAGTAAGAAACCGGTCTTAACTGACAAGACGCGTTTTGGGGTGAAATAGAGGAGTTCTTATGAAAACTCCAAAGTTAAACGTGCTCAGTGTGGCGTACAACAAGGATGGGTGACCTTATGTGAAGTCATCTTTAATTACATCCCAAGTCAAAAACCGTGAGAGCCGAGGCCCAAAGCGGACAATATTTTCGTCGAAAAAAGGTTCGGGATGTTACAAGTGGTATCAAAGCCTCTCCGTTTCCCTCTTAAACGATGGTGAGGCAAACCTCAACGAGGGCGTTGAGTCCCAAGGGGGGTGTATGTAACATGTTAGACAAATCTCACATCGCCACCTTAAATTGCATCCCAAGTCAAAAACCGTGAGGGCCGAGACCCAAAGCGAATAATATATTTGTTGGAAAAAAATTCGGGATGTTACAATCTATTTCATGAAAAAATTAATAAGAAAAAACAAACCAATTAAACAGAGATGGTTAATAAGCCTTAAAAGTTCAAAACAATTGAGTGTGAATGATTGGTGGACATATGTTGTTTGTAGATGAGCAGTTTGACGAGTAGGACGTCAGGGAGTTTGTGGCGGAGATGGTGGCGAAGAGGAAGAGGGAGAGGGAGAATGGGTTGGGTTGTATTGGCGATGGGATGGGTTGGGATATTAATTGGATTTGGGTTTGCTTATTTATTTATTTATTTATTTTATGATATGGATGCAAACGGGATCGCTGGTTGGATCAAATTAACAGAGTTTTGAATGTAGAAAGATAAAATGGCCGCCTTGGTATCCACTCAACACATATGTTACCATTGTGTTATATATATATATATATATATATATATATATATATATATATATATATATATATATATATATTTTATGAAGCGGTTGGGATTTCATTTCATCAAAAGGAACCAAGTACAATGCTGGCAACAACTTTGCCAGCTGAGCAACAGGGAAAACAAGCCCTTGAACACTCAAAAACCAATCTAATCACTCAAAAGAATAAACAAACAACTGAAGATTCAACAACAACTCTAATATCACCTTGAACCCTCTGAACCAAAGCATGAGCATCAGGTTGCTTCCCTGCAAACTTAATCAAGCATCTTTCTCTCCATATTGACGCAATCAGAGCATGCCAAATCAGCTTTCCTGCTTGGGCTACGACAGTGGAGCCTTTGAAAGCAGTTAAGGCCCACTGAAGTTCACCCTCCCATCGATCCCCAGGGACTCTATCTGCAAAATTACCAAACAATGCTGCAAACAGCTGCTTAAACAGAGAGCATTCAGCAAAAAGATGAGACCTTGTTTCCAGATTACAAGGGCAGAAAACACATCCAATGTCACCAGGCCCCCCCCCCCACCTTTGAACCTTCTCTCAAGTAGTGATAGAATCAGTGATAACCAACCAAACCAGGAATTGATTCTTTGGGATGCTAGCACCTTTCCAAACCAATTTCCCCCAAGATACTTTATCCTTCTTTGGACGAAGCTCCTCCCAAACCTTCCTTATGCAGAATTTTTCCAGAAGAACCCCCTTCCAATAAACACCATCAGCAGCAACATAAATCAATCCCCTAAGTTTATCTCTGATTTTCAAGACCTTCTGCCATAACCAAGACCCTGCTTTAGAGGTAAGAGTCCAGAAATTTCCCCCTTTTATACGAAACTCCCATAGCCAAGCAACCCATAATGACCCTTGTCTAATCAAAACATACCAGATATGCCTAACTACACAAGCAAGGTTCCAAGTATGCAAGTCTTTAAGACGAAGCCCCCCTTCAAATTTAGGATAAGTAATCCGAGACCAAGCCACCACTGCTTTTCTCCTGGCACCCTCACCTACTCCCCATAAGAAATCACTGCACATTTTCTCTATAGCCTTAATGATAGCCTTAGGCAAAATAAAAATTGACATCCAGAAATGAGCCAGACTATAGAGCACAGCCATCACTAGTTGAAGCTTGCCAGCATAAGAAAGTGTTTTAGACTTCCAACTATTGATCCTGCTCATGACTTTGTCTATAAGAGGCTTACAAGCCTTGATGGAAAGTTTACCAGGCAGCAAGGGAAGTCCTAAGTATCTAACTGGAAGTGACCCTAGCTTATACCCTGAATGCTGAGACATTGATCGTTATATATTAAATGTAAAAGTTTGTGACCATTTATGCTAATTACCCGCATGTTATGCATTCAAAAATATCGATTTAAATTTTAAAATTCGTACAATTTTATGATTTTATCTGTGGGTTTTTATATTGATTTTACTACTAAATTTTTTAGTGTTTAAATCCCATAAACTTCCTATTAAAACTTAAAATCTAACATTTATATTACGTTTGGTATAAATGAATTTCACAAGTTTTGAGTAATTCATGAAACACAAAAAGATTTCATTTTCAATTCGAAATTTTTATATAACAATTCAAAATTTTGAATTCAACGGAAATGAAACTAGTTATAGCAATTCCAAAGAATTGAATGGAATTCCACAAATGAATTCCACAAAATTTTACCATCAAACTTGGAGAGCTCGGTCATAAATAAAATAATGACATAATTATCCTCATTTATTAACTAAATTACTTGGCGTCATTTCCTCATTCATTCTGCTAATTGCTCTACCAGCATGCAAATCACCTAGTTTGTTATATTTTTTGGGTTAATACCACTACAGAATCTGAACTATAAAAATATGACAATCATGTCTTGACCTATTCAATATTAATACCCCAACGTATGATAATCGTGACTTGTGTGTCATTTGCGTCCTGACTATTTAACTGTTATAGATTCTGGTTGACCAGACGGAGGTCAACTTGACATTGATCAGACGGTGGTCAACTTGGCATTGACTTTCGATGATGTGGCAAAAATATGACAGTCACATAGATGCCACGTCATTGCCACTTCATTTTAATTCTAAATTAAATAAAAACAAAATTAAAAATTAAAGAAATCCCAACAACGGCCAAAGCTCTCACCGCTACACTACCGTCTCCGCCATCTTCATCATCTCCCATGTCCCATCTAACATCTCGCTCATCCCGGACAAATCACCGATCTCGCTGTCCTCCGTTGCCATCGCTTGCTAGAGATGGACTCGGGCAACGGAGTAGGAGGAGGAGATGAACCACCACTAGAAAAGCATCCTTTGTCCTCCTCCCCCCCCCCCCCCTCCAATGGTTCCATAGAGCGCTGAATTACCTCTACCACGACCGACAGTCGAGGCTCCTCCACCTTCGTGGGACCCACTAAAGAGGACGAGGACGTCGGAGGGAAGAGAAGACGCTGATGTCGTTGTGCATAAATGAATTGAGGGTTAATAGTATGATCGCTTTAGTCCAGTGTAGTCTGGATATATTAAATTTTTCATACATTTATAAATTATATAAAATTTCATCTAATATATGGTGATAATTTATAATATTACATCCAGTTCCTACTTGGATCCGCACACTCATATAACATCAATATTCAAGTATTCAATTTAGAATTCCAAAAATAGGATTACATGAAGAGAAAAACCAGCGATATTTTTCAAATTAAAAAAAATTAAAATTGTATGACCTCCAACTAAGAAACCTTATATCGATTGACTCGCAAGTATGTGACAAGCTTTTTTCTCACTCCACCCGTGAGTTGACAAATTGACAAATTTGCTACACACTATTACCTACAAGTTTAAAGCATATCAAGGCGCACTAAAAAGAGAAATATACAAAAAGATCCAGAGAACTCCATCTTCCCAACTTACGTATGGGTCAGGGGCTCAGGCCTAGCCAAGCATCTCAAGTGATTAACACCTCAAACTTCCACCAAACCAACACCAACAAAACAAAAACAAAAACAAAAAGGAAAAAAAAAATACGACAGGATCAAACTATGAGACTCCACCTTCATCGATCATCACCCACGCCAGCATTCATCCTTTCAAAGATCCCAATTCGGCAATTCCCCAACTTGCAGATTACAGAAAACAGAGGAAGTGGATTTGTTCGATTAATTACCTAACCCAACACGAAAAAGTTTCTTCCTTTATTAACTACTGGATGCTGGATTCACCGCTCGTCGGATTCTCAAGCACCGCCATTGTTGGGATTCGGCGGCGTGTGGCGGCCGTTGGATCCCGACTCAGAATAGTCATTCACTTCAAGTTCAACTCTGCCATGCCAAGACCTTCGTCCAGCCTGCAAGGAAGACGAAATCCATCACTTTCTTCCTTTCTTGTCTTAATTTCAATCTAGAATATTCATTTAGCAATACGCTTATGAATTCTTACCTTTTCAATCACTGGAGAAGATAATGGATCCGCCCGAATCTGTTCCGGCGCTGCAAAAAATGCTAGCAGTAAGAAAAACAGAGCTATAAAAACCAAAGCGATAAGAACCAAGATTGCAGTTGGTAAGGGGGGAGTTTTTCGTCGATTACAGATTACGGTGGCCGAGGAAGCATTTGAGGAGACGATAAGGGAAGAGAAGAAGAGAATAAGTAGGAGATTGGCCGCCATTTCTATGGTTTTCTGTGCGTTGTTGTTTTGGAAGGTTTCTCCCTGTTTCAGAGTTTGGTGTCCTGTTCTGTTTCTGTCTGGAAATTTATATTCAATTTCACAGCTACATTGGTCGGTTTTTCTGTCGGTTTTGATTTATTTATTGGATATTAAAATGAGGCCTATCGTCGGGATAGTGTGTTCTTACCCAACTTGTGTATGTAGACAAGTACAAGACAAGACATCATTAGTCGCACTTGAAAGACAGAGTGGCATGTTCATCTAGTTTTCTGTGAGTGATGATTAGGAATGGCAATGAGGTAGGTTCGGGGCGGGTATCTCGATACCCATACTCGCCTCATGGCAGGTTGGGTAATTTATGACGGGGCGCGGGTCGGGGCAGATCGACCCATTGGGTATGTAATTTATGTGAAAAACATTAGAAATATTCATTCTTTTCATTGAAAGACCAAGAAAGAAACCATAATATGATAAAATGTAGTTAAATTACTGAAAAAATTGAAGTTTTCACTTATTTACAACTTTATTATAGCTAAAATATAATGTAATAAGAGGAAAATCTTAAGTCATTTGACTAAGATTATATGTAATTTAGGCAAGAATGGGTCCAGAATGGGGCGGGTCAGGGCAGGTCGAGTCGATGAGAGGTACCCATGCCCGCCCCGCCCCGCCTACGGGGCGGGTTTGACCCGCCCCAAAACAGGTCAAACAGGTCGGGTAAATCGGGTCAGGTCGAAATTGCCATCCCTAGTGATGATAAATAAAATGACTACTTGGTTGACTATCAAGACTGAGAATAATGATCGAAATTTTAATTTGATTGCATCCCATTCCCCAGTGAGATGGCCATCAAAAAGGGAATAAAAGGGAAGTCTTGTGCTTCATGTGCTAGTGAATAGAGATAGACAAGGAAAGCAGCAAGCATGAAAATATTAATTGGAGAAGTGTCACAGGAAGAAGATGTGAAAGGACCTTTGGCCTAGTGGCAGAAAAGTCACTCTTTGGCTACATCAGAATGAGAATTTCTGAAAATCAATTTTGTAGATGATTTCGCTTGTTTAATTCCTTTGTTGAGTCATTAACCATATGTATCAATCAGAATTATTTGGTTTAATAGGTATATAAAACCACAGTAAAAGGCAAGTTCCACAAGCTTCAGTGTGTTTGTGGTACACCTTAATTTGCTTCATAATCTTAGCTCTAATTGAAACTAAAAATTAGTCTGAAAAGACTCCAAATTTTGAATACATATCCATACATAAATTCCTTAGAACTGAACTATTAACTTTCACTGCTAAATCTACCTATCATAAACCAACCATTCCTCGAAAGCACTTCCCTTGAAAATCTGAGGCCCTCGAAAGCACTTCATCCAAGTACATGCACAACAGGTCACACAGTTTCGACATCCATTCATATACAAAAATTGCAAATGAAGCTAGAAAGAAGAGAGAACATAAGCACAACGTGTTGTTCCATACTTCATGGTTACATCTTGAAGTATTTGTAACCGTCCTCAGGGTTTGTCATCCCTTCTTCCCAATCACCCATCTTGCGTCCCCCGAAAACCACTTGTTGAATCCCCAAATACCTGCCAATGTTCAAAGGAAAAGTAAGAGTAGAGTCCAAGTTATGAACTCGAACCAATACGGGGACAACCATGAGGAAAACATATGCTTACTCTGAACTCAGCACAGTCAAGCAATTTAGCAGCACATCAATGGCAAAGAAATCAGATGTACCAAGGTCTACCCTGTTGCACATGGACAAGATCATGGTTAACTTTCCAGTTCTCTTTTCTCGCACCGACTATGGACAAATGATCATGAAGACCATTAAGTCAGAACTCATACCAGACTCGCCCCCAGTTATCCTGAAACTCAACATCACCAATGTCGTGGAAGGATGATGGCATCACTTGGAACCCTTTCTCTACATCATAGAGGGGATCATACTCCATTGATGAATTTCCCAACTGCCATAGATGTTGAACATTGATGACATTCAGTTTTTTTTTTTAATACAGCAACAGAAAGAATGCAGAAAGAACCTGCCTTTGTAACTAATGACTAAACTGTTGCGGCTGGTATGAAGGAATCCTTCTTCCCCACTAACCATTCGTCGTGATATAAGTGCTTAGTAAGCTAAACAACTACTTTAAGGTACACCTATATGCGTATGGAAGCAGAGAGCTGAAGTTGAAGGTTTATGTTAAGTGACGAATAGCACTTCATTTTGCTTCATTGTAAAGGTGCCCTATTAACAAGCTGCCAACTACTAAATTTAGCAAAATGAGCACTGCAGCCTGCATCGCCATGCTAACTTATCTTTCATGATAAAGGTGAAAATGTTGAACAGGAAAGTTCCCGCGCATACTAATATTTTTTGAAAGTACTAAAAAACTGAAACCGAAATTCCATGGCTCACATAATTGTAAGTATTCACCAAAAGGAAAGTGAAAAGGAAGAAGGTTTCAAGATGTTACAGAACCACAACTTGGAATAAACTGCAACTAGAACAATACAACAGGAACCAAACCAAAAAGTTACTTATGAGACCAGCTAATTGCTAGGCTAAACCTTAGTAGAACACAGAAAACAAGGGACGTGAACTATCATGAGGATGACAAGAATGGGCAGAGGAAAGAGAAAGAAGAAGCCAAACCTGCAGATTTGAAGAATTGAAAGAACCCAAGCGACCCATTACATACCATGACTGAACAACCTGCATTTTGGGATTATAAAGATAAGTGAAAACAGAAGACTAGTAAGCAGCCCTGTCTTCCAGCAGCCCTGCTTATAATAATATCTAGAGTGAATAGGAGAGGGATAAAAAAGAAGCGACTCACGCTACCGAAAAGATCAACATCACGATCAGTTGGGGAGCCAAGGAACTCAAACCAAATGTAGGAATCTATGGGGTTGAAGCTACAATCACAAACAAATGAAGGAAAGGGGAGTAAAACTAACAGTAAGAGTAAATAGAAGTGATCTAAAAGGCCTAATAAAGGAGAGGACGGATCACAACAACAACCACAAAAAAAGCACATTGAACTCATACATACATACTCTCTAAAGCTAACTTTGAAAGCAAGAACGGAACCAGTTTTGGATTTCTGGAAGTCCCGACCTTTCCTCCTGACCCGTTCTTCCACCTGGGTTTCGACCAGTATGACAAATTTAGACCCGCATAGTGATGACAGATTCGTTAAAAAGAGAGCAGTGACTATCAGTCATGGTGGGTAAGATACCCGTTTCCTCATGAGCTCCGGGTTGCCAATGCTATCACCAAGAACAGAGCGGAGCTCCTCGTCGTGTTTGCAAGCATCCTCGAGCACCCTATGGAATTCGCAAACAAGCGCCACAATCCAACAGAAAATATGTTAAGTAATTGGGAAATGAAGCTAGGAAGGGACCAGCCATAGATTGAAAGAAGCAGCGAGACAACTTACTTAGCCCAGGAAGGATATTGGTGGAGGCGATCTAATTCGCGTTTGGTCTTCTGCTCCCGAATTTTGAGCAGCCGCCGGCTTCGAGCGCTTGTACCGGACACCACAGTGCCAGAGCTGCTGCTGCCAGCTGAAGAAGAAGCGCCGGTGTGGCGGTAATCGGAGGCGGAGGCTTCATAGTTATCGGGATAATCAGAGGAGGAGGAGGAGGCTGGGGGACGCGCGAATGAAGGTGGGAAAGAAGAAAGAGGAGGAATTCTGAGTGAAGAACAATGGTGTGCAAAAGTAGGAACTGATACGCCACCCGTTTGCCAGAATCCCAATCCAAACCCTAAATCTGCCCCCATAGCCATATGTGGTTGAGAGTCCGGCCGCCGATCAGCCTCCTATGGGCAGTTGCCGCTGAAGCTCGACTCAGCAATGCTATAGGTTATCTTTCTAGCGGATAATGGTCGAGTGCCCGAAATAGGGGTAATTACTATTACGTGATTAGGGGTGGCAATTAGGATCCAAATCCATAAATCCAATTCAATCCATTCACCAAATTATTCACTTAATTCAATCCATTTAAATTCAATCCATTTGATTCAAATCCAATTGGATTGGTGGATTCATGAATCCAAATGACAAATTACGATTTGGTACCTATATTTTTTATATTTTACATTTTGGTACCTAAAATTTATATTTTTATACGAAAATATCATTGAAAATTTACAATTTGGTACCTAAAAATTTTCATTATGACATTTTAGTACCAAAACTTTACAAATTTTACATTTCGGTCCAAGCTTTGGATGTCATCTGGATTCATGGATCAATCCACTAATCCATTTGATCCAATCCATGAATCCACCAATCTATTTGATCTATGGATCCACCAATCCAATCCATTAATCCACGAATCCGATCCAATTGCCACCTCTACATGTGATACTTGTTTGAAAATTTTCATATTTTTTGGGGAAAATCTATGTTAAGTGGGCTAGAAGACAAAATACTATATGTTTGAGGAGCAGTTTGTATTATATTTATGATTAATGGCTCATTTACATATCATTTCACTACTTAGATTTTAAGTATGAATATGGCTATGCATGATCCCCTAATTTTTCTCTAAGTACGATATTAATCGTCATATTTACATATCTCACTGACATAAATTGAAATGATGTTCACGATTTGAACTCACATGAAGATTGGATATATCTCTAAGTAAAAATACAAGTTTAACAACTACCTAAGGGGCCAGGGAGAGTACTACATTGATAGGTTTTGTTGTTGTGGAAAGAACAAGTTAAGATACCACTGTGAGGGTAGTAATGAACGAGTTTGATGTTTCATATTCATATTGATCTTATTTTCGGAAGGAAAAAATCCACATTTATCTGATTTCACATTTCACACCATCCCATTTCTTATAGTTAAAGCTAGCTACGAGATCCCGATGTTGAGCTATGTCTCATTTTCTCTCCTTTTCTATCCTTTAAAACACTAATTATTATTTTGGTAAAAAACACTAATTAATTTAATTAAACATTAGATAAAATAAATAAATAAGGTATATAGGTTATATGGATCAGCATGCAGTCTATATTTAAAGGTAAGTCAATACAAGTCCTTTGAGCCAATTAAGTTGAAATTGTCAGTGCTACATGGTGTGGTCTTTTCCTTCCGTTCTCCATCTAATTTATGAAAAAATGAGAGAATTACTGTGAGCAGTAGATCATCCAAAACTATTCTAATTAAGAGTTTCGGTTATAATACAAAACCATCTTTCATAAGAAAAATACTTATTCAATGAGAAGAGTAAACTCAAAAAATAAAGCTCAACAATAGAAGAAAAAGTTTCTTCTCTAAAAAAACTAGAAATGTATATCCGACTCATTCAGTTTTCAAATGATAGAAGCGGTTGGAAATTTTAAATGTGTCGCTAATTAATTAAGTGGTCGAAATATGAATATCGAGCTTTCGTTCTTACACCTTGCTCATATAAACCCAACAAAAAAATTCACATCAAGCATATGTGTATATATATTATGTACATCATGCGGTTGCGTCAAAACTTTTAGAACATATAGATATCTTTTATGAGAAGCCATAAGATTAAAGAGTCCTCGGTATTATCGAAGTTGCTACTGCTTCTTGGCCAGCTTTTATCTAGGAGGTGGTGGTGTGGTGAGACTTGTGGCTTTTTGTTTTCCCATTATCCAAACCTTGGTGTTGTTGTTGACCCTTTGAATCCAACATGGACATGGAGGGATTCTTGACTACTATCTGTTGGTGATCTAGATGGCGCTTCTACATCTTTCATGAAACTGACCTTCTTGTTTTTCTAACCCATCTTGATGATTTAGGGGACCTTGGTGTGTTAATGTTCCCCTATTACTCTTATGTAGTAGTTGTGGTTGTTGTTGCCCCCTTTTCCGAGGCATGGTGAAGCTCATTGCTAGCAGCAACATCTTGGCTCCGTCGCTCCTTCAGAAATTTGAGTCGGTTTGTCAACTTCGTTAGTGCGGTTGAAGATTTTAGTTCCTATTGAAAATACACAGGTGTGGCAACTACCATAAATAAACCTATTCTCAAGCATAGTTAGAGGAAAGATCTTATTACTTTTCATGAAAATGTAAATTTATGGTTTTTCATTTGCATTCAAGTGGTGACAATAAACTATAAAAAAATTACTTTTATGTTCCCTACTATTATAACCATTATTGAATTCGAACTAAGATGTGGACTTATACAACCTTACCTCAGTTTTAGTATTGCCTGCCTTTTTGAAACTAGTTGACCTAGTGTCATTGCCACTTTTTCCTAGGTCCATCACCTTGTTTGGATTGGATTCTGGTTTCTTGTCCTTTGCACTTTTAGTCCTATTCATTTTGCCGTCCTATTATACAGCAAGACATATTCTTAACATAATAATATTATACTATAGAAGGAAGGAATACTAAGAGTATCAAAAGATGAGTTTTACCTTACTTGAGGATTTCTTAGTAGCATAAGTTAGTGCGTTGGAAGAATCACCATCCTTCATTCTGTCCTTTCACCAAATAGACTTAATTTTAGGTTAACTTACGAAAATATATTATATCTTTTCTCCTCCAACTCTCTTTAGTTGAGGTGAAGAAACTACTGCGAAAGAGCTCAATGTTGGATGCAAAATATAGAAGAACATCTTACAATTTCCCTTGATGAGCATTTTGTGCAGATTGATCACCAAAAACACGAATGGTGGGCCCACCACAATTCTGTTCATGTTGTCGAATGAGTTGGACGCTCAAGTTATCTACCTCCTTCTGCAAATCATTGATTTCAGCATTCGCTTGACTTATTTCCTCCAAGTCCGCTTTTGTCTGCAGTTACATATACTTCTTTTTATCAAACAGAGGAATTCAAGGCCAAGAGCAAAAATGAAAATGTAAGTAAAAGTGGTAGACCTTTTCATCAATTGTGTCTGGAATATTAGAAAGTTCATCTGCTGGATTTAGACCCGACTCGAGAACTCTCCTTTTCTCTCTCTCCATTTGGAGTTGTTCCCGTAGTCTTGAGACCTGTTTTCATATTTTTGCAACCAGACATGAGTGATTTACGCATTAAAAGATAATTTTAGGCAAAAAGAGTATGAATAATATAGAAGGTATTGAAAGCAAGAAAAGAGACAAAAAATCTCCTACAACATACATCTTGCTTTAGAGCTCTACGACGCTCACGTAGGATCTTCTTTCTTTCTTGCAAGTTGGCTTCTAAAGTTGCATTCCCTTCAGCCTGAAAGTAAAGAATATAATGCTTGAATTACTATAAAATACATTATAATCGCATTGTTGGACGAATGTAAGACCTATATTTCAATTATATACCTCTTCAGCTACTTTGTTCCGTAATGTGATTTTGCTTGCTTCCAATTTTTGGATCTCGGCTCTGCAGACAAACCAATATTTTCAAAAAGCAAATTATAAAGAGGCAAAAAATATTCTAGTAATCTATATGGCAAAGAAAAATATTGGGATGGTAAAAATTCTAAACTTCAAAATATATATTTACAAAGTGTCGATATAGCTTTCAAAAAATTTAAATACGAATAAAAATAAACCAAAACAACATAACACACAGTCACAATGAACCAACAAGGAAGTTGGTGTAAGTTTTGATGTGTAAGAAGGGTTCTGATGCGCTCATTCTACAACCACTAGAGATCACCACTTTTAATTCATGTAATCTATTTAACTAAAAGGATGATTGTTTCATTGTTCACGATAGTCAAATCTATGAGAGAGCCTTAAAGCTTCTCTTGTAAGTTGCAGATCTAATATGATTTCACATTGAAAATCTCCAAATTTAGGCATGGGCAAGAAAATAATTGACATAGGAATGACATAAATTTAGAAATGGACAATAAGGAATGACATCAACAACAAGGCTTCGTGACGAATGTGGAATACATACTCTTCATCTTCTAGTGTAAAATCAATAGACTCCATTGAAAGGTTCTTTTTGGCCTGAATTCATCACAAAATGATAAAATGAGAAATTTGATTACAATACATGTGAAATGGTAAGAAATAGATATCAAATCAATCAACATATAACTAATGAATTTTTTTTGTATGTGTTGGTTCATCATTTTTTAATCATAGTAACAAAATTTTATGCTTTAGGAGTTTTTCCTGCCCAAAATAGATTAAAAATATTGACAGCGTTTTGCATAATAATAATAAGGAAATGAATGAGTTTTGCAATATGAAAATTATGATAATTACTTATTTTAAGAGTACCCAGTTGAAGAATAAATTATTTTAACAATGTAATTTGTTAGTTTTCAACAACTTGCACGCTCATGATGGATACGTTCTAAATGTTAAGATATAAGAAGATATTTGTTTGAGCAATTTTCCAACGTACACTTTAAGAATCAAATTACTAGTTGAAACGTACACACTCATAATCTTAAATGTTAGTAGGAAATGGTGAGTCAGGAAAATAATAGGTAGCGTCTAAAAAATAATCACTAACCGAGGTACGTCCCCAACCCATTCGCCGTTCACGCCTACCAGCTATACTTGAAGACTTCCTCATGTGACGGGTTGAAATATTAGATTCAACTCTTGCAAGTTCCGCAGAATGTGAAAAATCCCTTTTACTTTTGCTAAGACTCTGCTCTTGTGTGGCTTTGTGATTTTGTGGCAATAGATTTTGATCGGAACTCGGCAATACATTCTTAAGGTTATCATCAACCTCATAGGGCCTTGAATGAATGTTAAGATCACTAGAACCCTGCAGCTTTGATGTATTTAGTTAAGTTCAATATCTCTTGTAGATAGTAATGACAAACTAATGAAAGAATCCGCAGTCTATAAGAAAGACAAAGATCAAACACATATATGACATATAATTGCATCAAGTTACAAACTAAGGTATGGGTGGCCATGTAAGTCTACTTTAGAAATTTATCCAAACAACAACTTTGGACCGGATTCAACCCGCCCATTATGTTTTCAAAGGTGGATGGCTACTGAGATTTTTAGTCACCCACACTAATATGAATGGGTGAACTTCTTCAAATATGTTTTTTGTTTGTTTATTTCAATGTCTTATTGGTCTTCTAAATGACAATGCAATAGTTAGATTCTGATTAGAGCACATATCCAATTTTATTGGATTGAAGTTTGAATAATGAAAAAAGGGTTGGTGTTTTTAGCTTGACACTTGATACAATGAGTGAATTAGAAGACCTTCTTAAATAAACCTAAAGAATTATGTTATCCCACTAAAAGTGTATATTCTAAAGAGAAAAGCATAGAATACTTGCCTTGATATCTGTTGGATCATCTTCACTAGAGACATGGCTCCCACTACAACTTCCATTTGATTCATTTTCAATATCTTCATCTGAATATTCCTCGGACCCTAGTGATACTTCATCAATCTCTTCTTCTTCATACTCATCTTCATCTTCATAAGACTCATCATCTTCAGTTACTTCCTCATCCTCACTCTCGTCTTCCTCTGAATCAGAGTATAGTCCAGGCGACATAGCACCATCCTACATAAAATATGTACTCTTGTCAAGAGAATGTCACTCTTAGAATTGCTACAAAAAGATGGATACTCGCATATTGTTCACTAGGATATTGGTAGGAAGCATATGGAACGTATTACTACTTCATTAAGGATGCATTAAGTGCAATTTGAAAAGAAATATATTAATTTCAAGTAAAAGTTAAGTGTTGAATACATGATCCCTAAAATATAGATTTAGAATCTAGTGTCATTTTCATTCACTCAAATTTTAGGTTGTCATGGCCATTGTGCTTAGCATTGATTCTCATTGTTTATGACTGAATCTCTTAGTTCTTTAGCATAGTTAGTAAATACTCCGTTTAATACACGTATATGTACCCGTACGTACTTTATCCGTTTAAAACTTCCGTATCCGTATTATTGTCAAGCCGTTTCATTTCCCCCCGTTCATTTCATGGTTCCCGTACTAAACACGTATAAAACCCGTATAACACGTTTATTATCCGTATTTTACGAATTAAATTGTTAACTTTACTATTATTTATATATTTATTTATTTTTCAAATGATTAATTTTATAAATTTATGACTATTAACGTACTATTAAACGTAATTTTAGCTTAAAGATGAAGTATAATGCCCGTACGTATCTTTTACGTAACTTTCCCGTACCGTATTTTACTAACTATGTTCTTTAGAAGACTTGGGACAAAATTTGAAATTTGTACTATAATTAAGTATTGATAGTAAATGATAACTCTGGAAGCAGGTATATTACAATCACGTTCTTAAGTTTTTGGAGGAGAGAAAAATTTGGTCCTTCATTCAATCATTTTGCTTGTTGGAATAAGAAAGACTTAACATATACCCCTAGACTAGTAGGATTAGATAGTAGGTATTTATAACTTTAGGGGCCATAAAGGAAAAGTGACTTTTATATGGTAAGATGACTAACTTGTTTTATAAAGGTTAAAATGATAGATATTTTTCATATATGAGGAACTAGTTTAAGTTTTTATTGAAGGTTAAAAAAGTAAATGTAACTAGACAAATGTAAGCAGATGTATGATGTTATACAATATATCCATTGTGGGTTAAAAATATACAAAACATGGCTCATGGTTCAACTTGTACTTGAACAAAGATGGAAGCAATGTAACATCATGGATACAATAATATTTAGTTGAGTCCACCGTTAAATGAATTAGATAACGCGTAATTAAGAAGCGAAAGGAGTGAACTAAATCTTACACTGAATATAGTATCATATTCTTCTAGCAGGGTTATAACAATAGCTTGAGCATGATTAGCCGCTGCTGCTGCTTGGAGAAGTTGCATGGAACCATCTCCGCCGACATCAAAGTCACTTTCTATCTCACAGTCACCTGACAAAAGAGGACGTAGTAGTAGTGGTGCCATGCAAGCAGCCACAGCTGAATTACTCATTCTGTTTTTCTCTTTATGAGCAGCCACTTGTTGCATCATCAAAAGAATTCTGAGACCAATAACACAAGTTAAGTTGACATTAACCTGGAGAAATAGTAAAAATATAACAAAAAAACTAAATAAAAGAACATTAACTACAAGTAATTAAAATAATGCATTTGTATCATATGGTTTCAAAGCTCAGAGTCACAAGATATATTACGATTACACATTGTTAAAATTAAAGAAGCAATGTAATCAATATATTGGTCGTAGCTACACCCATTATGTTAAAATAACTTATCTAAATATGGTAGACATAGAAAATGAATTATTAAGAGTCACTTGACTATGGTAATGAGTACACATCCATAGAGATATAAAGATAAATGTTTATAAATCTACCTTTATGAACTAGGTAATGCTTTTCAATACTTTGTCGTCAACAAAAGAATTTTTTTCTTTTTTCTATATGTAAATACGATCAAAAATTATACTAATTTACTAATTGATGATGACATGAAAATAGCACTTGGGAGAAACAAATATGAACTCCAATTACACTAATTTACTAATTGATACTCTCACTCCTTAATGACACGGGAGTATCACTCTGGAGAAAGAAATATTCACTTCTTGTAAACATAAACATCAAAATATATCACATACCTTTGCAATAATCTACGGTTTGGCTCAGGAAATGTTTCCATTATTGCAGTTCGCATGGAAGAAATTCTATTGCCTTTATCAGATCCTAAGCAAAGTGACATCATCAAACCATGTACTTAACTGAGATAATGGACAAATGCACTAAAGTAGCTAACACGCATGATAAAAATTTTAAAACAATAAAAGAACACACATTTATTCTCTGAGAATCTTACCATAATATTTTATCAGTCTTGTGAGTAAATGTTACGACAAAGTAATAATTTGAGTTGCTAACGCAACCATTGAAGCACACATGTTTTACCAGTCCCTAAAGAAACTATGTTTAATCCAATCACGAGAATAATGAAATTAAAAAACATGACAATCTTAACACTAGCTATTAAATTTTCTCTTTGATTCAAAAAGAAAAGAATCATGAAATATCAAAATTTTCTCTAAACCATGGAGATGGAGGAGATAGAGTGTTGAACAATGCATTCAAATTAGGTCTTAAATTTTCTCTTTCATTTTAACCATATTTATCAAGGGGATTGAGTCAGGTTAACGTAGGGTGATCAAACCACATAACAATATGAAAACAAGTGGGTTATCTAAAGGTTTGGCAAGACTTCGTAGATCATTTGTCAATGAGTAGGAAAGAAGTATGTAATTTGGTATAAGTCTTATATATCCTAATATGAAATGCCATTTAAATCATAGTTTCCAATGTGCTTGATTTGAAATACTCATATCCACTTAACTCCGTTTGGAAAATGAGCTTGCTAGTCACCATATTCTCAGTAAAAAAATAAAATAATAAATAAAGTTAACTTCATGCATGTCAACTGAATATAAATTCATAGTATAGAAAATTTAACAATGAAGAACTAATAAATGGAAGAGGTCTATGGAACAAAAAACAATAAAATGGACACAATTGTAATACTTACTACTTGCATCTAATAAAGCATGACAACAAGATGTAGGTACTGGAGAAGATGGCAATTCTCGTAGAAAGTACTGTTAAGAGGTAATAGAAAAAGACTACAGTTAAAAAAGAGGTAGTTATGAGATCGAGCACTAGTAATTTTTTCGGAAGAACAAACCTTAATACAATCACCGATTACATGAGCATCCTCCCCAGGAGAGAACTCTGTCTTCCCTGAAACATAAGAATGACGCAAAAACATTAATTCATGAAGAATGACTTAAGACCCTTACAAATGGAAAATTGAATTTATGAATCAATTTAAATAAATATGCGCTCTTAAGATATGATTTTCTGAAACTATAAAAGGAAAAGTTACAAGTTTTAAGTTCTTCCGACATACGTGGAATAAGGATATAAATATAGTCGCTTATTGAAAGTTAAATAAAAACATATATAATAAACTACATTTGAAAAAAACAAACCTTGTTCATACTCCCGAATACGATGCTCAACATCATCAACATCTGCAGCTTGTCGCAATATTCCTTCCACCTTAACCCCTGTCAATAATTTTTAGTTTACCAGGTTGAGGTCACTAAGGAGTGAAAAATAGAACAAAATACCACAAGTGGTGATATTGGAATATATGCCAAGAAGGATGACTACTCAAGGTATATTACAATAAGTTATATTCAATAGAGATTTCCTCCCGAAAGCTTCATAAGCTAAAAAAACAAACGACAGACAATTCAGCTTATGTTGCCTTAAAACATAATAAGGCAACAACAAAATGTAGATTCTAGTAGTTCATAAATTTAAAGGAGTGTCTTAATTTATTTAACAACATATAAATTTGTATTTCTAGCTAAGATCCTAATCATCGGGATGAGCTTAAGATCTCAATTATATGTGTGACTCAAGAGAAAATTGTCTCCATCTAAATCAAATGACCAGAAGAATGTAAAGAGTATTATTCCCAATGGTGGCTAGTAATGACATCGGTACCAATTCTAAAAAGTTCATACATCCAAATGTACTATATAACATAATTTGTATTTCCTTACGATTGCTGATCATATGGTATATGGCTAACAAGCAAGTGAAAAGTGCAAGTTGTAAGTCATAGTCCAAATTTGCATTTACTAAACTAGTGAAAATGCTTAAATGCATATTTATAAAACATAAAACTAACATATTTAAGCACTCCAAACAACAATTTAATGTCCCAACTCTTACGTACAATAAAAACATTTAACATGTTACGATAATAAAATAGATAACTAACCATGATCTTCTATAAATTTTAGAGCCTTCTCTAAAAAGGATGGAGATCCATCAACATCTTCTAAAGCAAGTAAAATTGGTCTTCCAAGAACCAAAGACGCTGGAGGTGGCTTTTCACCAACTACAGCTGAAAAGAGAAATTAAAATAATAATGTTTCAACTTACAACCTTGAACACTAATCTTCTACTCAAAATTAAACTAATAACATTGATAACTTCGCTAAAGGGTTCGTTCAATAACAACTATTAAATCATATATTATGGATGGGAAAGAAGCTAAGCAAATTAGATTCTCCTAATATGGTGTAAGGAACTAGGAAGAACATACCAAAACCAATATAATATTAATACTACCAAATGGAGCACTGAACATAATTAAATCCCTCATTTGTGCATCTAATCACAATGTTTTTGCTCAATATGACTTGTATAATTAATCCAAAATATCATTTTAGACAGTTGAGTTAGGTGAACATACACTTTTCAACTTTTGTATCTGGTGCTTCAGGTTGATCATTCCTGATGACACCATTTTGTGGCATCATAGTGGTAGAACAGGGTGCTTGTGATAGAGCACTCTCAAGTGCAGTTTTCCATTCATATAAATCTTCTGACGTCTCAGCCTGCATCATTATACATAAATAGAGATTCCAACAAACTTTTACTTGAGAATGATTCTTGCAATCATATTCCCTCAAGTACCTAGGTTTTCCTTCCCAATATACAAGATCATTGTTATTTTCTTTTCATTTCTTGACATATTAGTTAATGATTTCATCCTTTTCCACGCAGGGAGCATATTTGCTTGCACCCTATCGCTTTCCATGGTGCATACCTACCAAGCCACCCATGTTTTTCATGTCTTGTGCAATTTTACTATTGTTTTAATTAATACTTTCTTATTAATCTCAAAAGGACATGAAAGGTAAAGATATTTTTAATTATTAGGTTCTTTGTGCAGACTCTACACACATATTGATTACAAACCGAGGTCTCAAGTTTTCGAGCATTGGTCTCTTCTTAATTATAATTTGATTGATCAATACTCTAAACAATGAATGTATATAAATTGAAGAGTTGATAGGATGCATAATGGCCTGACATCAAAACATAAAAGGGCTTCACATGTTAGGTTTAAATTGTAAGGTGATATTGTTGTCAAATTTGTCTTAGGAAGACTTCAGTGGAATTACCTAAACACCTATGAAAAGCTTTAGAAAATGGATGATCCCAACATCATAAGTTGATGGGCACATATTCAATGTTAATATTATATTTCTTTTATTATTTAACAATATATTGAATCAATTTTTAGTAGTATTGTTCATGAATATAATATGCAAATTTCAAATGCAAAACTAAAGTCATGAGATTGATCATAATGAAAGCTTAAGCATTGTTAGCATGTCATGCCTGAGGCCTGAGGGTTATATAAGGTTCAATCTTTTCCATTTTTCTTTCTGTTATAATTGAATATCAACTCAAGATGTGACCCCTAAGAGGTTGCATATTCTTATCCACATTTATCAAGTACCAATTCATTGTGTTTTTTTAGGGTTTTCTCACTATTCATTCTCATAGGAATAAAATATATATTTGTCGTCTAAACTCCATGATGAAAAGTGAAAATAACCATGAAATAAAGAAGTACCTTGAGAGTGAATGCTCGACCATCACGGCCATCTGGAAAGAGAACAGTCAGGAGCTTCTTGTCCGCTTTGACAACCACGCTACAAATTTTTTCAATCACATAACTGAAAACAGCTAGCTAAGGAGTGCTATATGAAGCATCCCACTAAAAGAAGTTTCAAATCATGATAACTAATTGGAGACAGCAAGCCAACCTGCCTGAATTGTTGAGGTCAATACCACCAAGGGTTAAGTTCACTTCACTTCCTTTTTGAGCAACAATACTCTTTACCAAAACACCGAACAAGGAATTACAAAAAATAAATCACACGCCATGCATAAAAAACTGTAGAAACTTTCACTATTGTCATCAACCCAACAATGAAATACAATGTATATTGATCAAAAGGTAAACCAGGGTGCTACTCACCGGATCACTCCTGAAGAAAACTAGTGAAGTTTTTGTCAAAATAAACCACCTTTTTTTCCAAGATGTCCATCCAATTCCTACAATAAACAAATAGATACATTTTATCTATGACAATGACAAAATTGGCTCTAAACAAAATTGAAGCATTTATATTACTCAATCATGCATAAGAGGAATTCCTAGAACCAAAATCAGGGGAGTGCATAACATTTGACTATAGTTATTAGAGAATTGAGCATACTAAATGAACATCTCAATCACATCATTGCAAAAAGTCAAGGTTGTGGATGGATGACGCATAAATTATATATCAAAATAAAAATGATACGCATTGGATTAGAGAAGAGGCACTCAATGAGAATCGTGGATTCAACTCAACACAATGAGACATCATGATAAAAGAAAACAAAAACTCGCCTTTCGATGAAATGAAAAGAGGCCCACTCTTAAGGATCTGCATATGGAAGCTACAGTTTGAGTAACGTAAAAAATTCAAATGGGAAGTTAAAAAAAAAAAAGACAAAGGCGCTAGAGGTACCGGATTGGCACTGCGAGGAGTCTGACTGTCATTTTTTCCTCCTCCTCCTCCCCCTCCTCCTCCTCCTCCTCCAATTGAAGATAGGGATGGTGGGGCAGTTGTGGCTCCATCTCCTAGCTATAAAAATTTACAGCAGAAAAAAAATAACGGACGGTAACTTAAAATTTCAACATGCAACAAGTAAATATATGATGAACTTCTTCACATTCGATCGAGGAAACAAGCTTCAATTCAGCCACACAATGTGTATGGTGGGGAGCGGAAATGCAACAATTATATAATACCTGAGATGGATTTGAAATTTCAGTGGTGGCTTTGTTGGTCATCATCTCAGGATTCTTTCAGCCAAAACATGGATCAAGAAAATCACATTTCACTCAACAATTAGAATGCCATTGTTTTCTTTTTTCCTTCTGCAACCACACCATTAGCAAATGTAAATAATCATCACATACAAGAGTAAAAAGGAGGAAACTAAAGATTAAAATCAATGAATATACCATATCACATGGGGCAGTGGGGGGAAAAGAAGGAAATTCGAAGATTGATTGATGCAACACGAAAAAATAGATTCGTTTGTATTGTATTGTTTTTTTCTTGTTTTCTTGTTTTTGTTGGGTAATCAGAAAGTTTTGGCGTTTACCAGCAACGGAATGCCATGAGTCTTATTTTCCTTTTTTTGTGTTTTGTTTTCTGGGGATTCACGAAACCCGTTTTGGAAGGAACGAGGTCAAGAAGATGATGAGGAAGATAGCGAAATAAGTGGAGGAATGTGGCAGTTGTTCATATCAACCGTATTTTCCGGATGAACTTCATAAAAACAAACATAAATAAAAATGGAGCAAAATTATGGATATAGTCTTAGACTATTGGCTTTACCCCAAATAGATAATTTAAGAATTGATCTCTACCTAACGAGGAAAGTGATTATATTTGTTTTTAACACCTTCATTCATCAATTCAAAAAATTTCATCTTTCACTCTATTTTTTACTAGGTTGATTTTATGATATATTATTTATACTAGATGTATTCACGATCAACTCATTTTCTGAACTCACTTTCGCAAATTTATGCTCAAGATTTTTGTTCACTTGGACTTTCCAAGGGGTAAGTTCTTACACCATGTGCACAAAATTTTATCTATTTCATGGCATTATTTTAGGCAAAATTCACCAGTATAGCCATAACTTTCACCTTTTGGACAATAATAGCCATTTTTGAATAATATACAGAAATAGCCAAATTTTCAAAACTTAATGAATTAATTTAGCCATTTTCGTTACATTATTTAACAACATCACTCAGTCCGTTAGTTTAGTGGACGTTTCTGATGACGTGCCTACCACCTAGGCGCCACCTCATCTCCACCTATACTGAACATTGCCACATCTTTGACATGTCATATTTCAAATTAAAAAATTAAAAATTAAAAAAATTCCTATATACAAAATCTAACTCAATCGATCGATTGGAATCTGCCCCTTTTCATCTCTGCTAGGGTTCCGCCTTAAGACCCAGTCGCCGGAACCCGGAGCTTCTCCGGTTCTCCCGAGAACCAGCCGTCGCCGCCACCTTTCTCTCAATCGACGAGTCACCCTCTCCCCGGGAACCAGTCATCGCCCTCTCCACGAGAACCAACCGTCGCCGTCGCTTTTCTCTCAATCGACGAGTCATCCTCTCCCCGAGAACCTATCATCGCCCTCTCCACGAGAACCAGCTGTCGCCGCCGCTTTTCTCTAAACCGACGAGTCGTCCTCTCCCCTAACCCAATGAATTCTCTTCCCGGCGCTACTCATTGCAGCCCTCCAAAATCTCCCAAACATCTTCACGAGTCATCCTCTCCATTCTAGAGTTGTTGTAATCATGTCACAGAGGATTCGAAGTGGGACTTCGTCGAAGTTTGCTGAATCGGCTTCAACAAGCGTCAACAGTTTAGGTCTCGTACTTTGTTATCATAAGGCTCTTTGTGTGGTTAATCGATCTGGTACTAAAGGAAATCCCGACCGAAAATTCTACGGCTGTCCTTAATGGAAGGTAAGGAGTAAATAATTTCGTCCCTCCACTCCCACTGATGCATATGAATGATTCTAAGGATGACCTTGTGCTCTCCCTTTGGGTCGAAGGTAATGGCGACGAAAAGGAGTCACAGAACATTACATTGGAGGACACTATTATGAAGCTGGAAGACAGAGTATAGCGAGCAGAATGTAAGGCAGATCAGAGGAAGAAAGCAAAAAGAATGGCGACCGAAGAACTAAGAAAGTTTATGGCAGTTCATGAACGTGTCTTAGCTGATGTTAGGAGGGTAAATGTTGATATATGTATCGTTCGTTATATGCTGTCAGTTTTATTGTTCGTGAACGCTTGGGTGATTGTAGTCATGAGGAGGCATAAGTATTAGTATAGATCTGTTATGTGTTGGAGTATTAGTGTAGTTCTGTAATGCAAGAGGCATGAAATGCAAGGAGTATGTGTTGCGGTGTAATCATTGCCTGAAATCAGAAGATTGAACAAAAGCTATTACATATATAATGATAAGGGAGATGTCTCACAATTACATAGTTCTTCAACCTACTTAATTGTACGAAGTACATCAGAACAACAACTAGTAGTTCATGGTTCCACCTAATTGTTCAGACGACATCAGAACCTACATTACCAAAGCTGTTTTAAGGGGTGAAACAGAACACAGCAATTACATGTGTCAACCAAAATACACCCCATCTGAAACTACACAAAATAATGACGCAAGTAATCTCCTAATTGTAATCTAAGGCTGAGTAAGTGGTGGTTGACTTCTTTGCAGCTCTACCACAGTTGTTTCTACTCCACGAGGTCGTCGAGAAGGACCACTTCCATCAGGTCTGCCACTATTTCTTGTACTCGTCAATCAACGGACCACTCAACAACTATATTGCCACCACCTTAGCCCTGTAACAGGACTTTCTCTCAACCTCCATATTATGCTTCAACCTGACCTCAACCACGATATGATCTGGGGCCCATTCAGGATTCATCCTGAAACTCTCCAGCATGTCCTTCGCTATCCACTTCGCAGTAATTTGATTAACTCGAAGTAGCCTTGAACACGAATGTGCTGGCCCTACTTTCCTGACCATAAAACTCATGTCCTTCCTAAACCAACTCGCGTACACCCTCCACTTGTAGTTTATAGCCTTGCAATTGACCTCCCTCCTATCTGCTTTACTCCTTATCCACCTAAGACTTGCACCATGTGCAACCGAATGCTTTGTAACTGCATCCTTGAACTGCTCCGGGCCATCAAACTTCATTCGACAAACAAATTGAAGGGTCTTGTGTTCACAGTTGGGGTCGTAATGAGGAGCATTGTCATAGGGTTCACCATCTTCCTCATCAGACAAATTGGGACGCACATGGTCCGAATCTTCGGACCCTCTATAGCTTGAATGAATTGAACCTTCCGGACGGGGTGACTGTTGGTTGGAAATGGGCTGAACAATGGTTGTCCCAATTCCTTCTTCCTCTTCATTCGGTTACTCCTGGTTGGCATTATCAGACTCAAAATCAACCTCTTCGAATACATCCATCTGTTCAACCTCTTCACCATTTCCATCCCTGCTCGCCATGACCTTCCTTTTCCTGGTCTCTCCATATACTCTTAAGTTTGCCCTTGCCTCGTGGAATTCATCATCATGCATCATTGTATTGTCGGAGTCATACACGTGGTAGACTTCCCGTTCAATTGACTCTGCTGCATACTCGTCTGGTGACAAGTTAGCTTCTTCACCTTCAACCTTGTTTGGGTCATTCTCCCCAAACAACTCTTCCCATGAATATGCTATCTGTAGAAAAGTGTTTAAATTCAGTGATTATTTACTAACTAATCTCATAACTAACAAACAAATCATATACAGACAAATATGCCATTAAACAATGCAATTCAGTCCACGAGTCCCTAACCAAATGGGTTCATTCACAGTAAATTGACCATACTATCCAGGATTCTGAGCTTCTTACATTCCTATTCAAGGGTAATTCCGTGACAAACACAACCTTGTGGTCCCTTCAAGAAAGCGATTGGAGCTTTCTCAATTTTTTTGCTCGCATCCACCTATAAAAAGAGATGACGTATGCATGTGAAAATCGATATCTACAACATACCAACAAGAGAAGCAGAGGAATGAACGAGTACACACCAGTCGGCACAGCCACCAGATCCGAGAACACTTCCGAAAATGGATTAGGGGTTTCCGCCACCAGTTGTTTCCACAACTGCTATTAGGGGATCCGTCGGATTCCGATGGTGTAGACTGACCCCACTCGTTCCTCCGCCGTAATCAGAGCCACCGTTCGTTCCTACTCGTCGGAGGGATGCATGACTTCGTCGAGGAGCTATCGGGAGAGAGGGGTAAGGGGCGGACGAGGGGACGAGGTGGGATGGTCGGGTGACGGGGTGGGCGGAAGGAAGGGTTTGTCAACTGGGAGTGGCTCCGTCGACGGAGAGTGGTCCGTCGATCGAAAACTATGGTGGTGGAGGGTTTTCGGTTGGTGAAGAGAAAATGAGGTGGTGGGTCTCGACGAAAAGGGTAAAGTGAAGATGGGATCCATGAAAATCCTTTTGTCCCTTTCTTTTTTAATTTAATTAAAAAAGGGTTAATACCTTATTTTGGCTCGAACTATGACCATATAATCAACTTTGGCCCGTGATTTTAGAAATTAACATCCTAGCCTCAACTATGCAGCATATAGACTCAATTAGCCTGACACATGGTTTGACCGTCAATTTGGATGGTCAACACGCCATGTCATTGCCTCGTCAGCCTAAAAATTATTAAAGAAAAAAATTCAAATTATTTTCCTAATTTCTATTATTTATCATTTTCAAATTAACCAAAAAATAAAATTTTAAAAATATAAAATAAAATTTATATTTCATTTTTGGGATATTTGAAAATTATAAATTTTATAAATTAACCAAAATTTATCAAACTAAATTTCATAAATTTAAAATATATGATATAAATTATATATTTCATTTTTGGGTAATGTTAAATATATAAAATAATTTGATACTTTTTGGTTAATTTATAAAATTAATCATTTTAATTACACAAAAAATAAAAAAAAAATTATTTTATGTTTTTTATAAATATTTTTTTGTTAATTTGATTATAAATAATAAAAAGTAAAAAAATAGTTTGAATTTGAATTTTTTAATGATTTTTAGGCTGACGAGGCAATGACATGGCGGGTTGACTAATGGTCAATGGTGTTGACCATCCAAATTGACGGTCAAACTAGGTGTCGGGCCAATTGAGTCTATATGTTACATAGTTGAGGCTAGAATGTTAATTTCTGAAACCACAGGTCAAAGTTGATTATATGGTCATAGTTCAGGCCAAAATAAGGTATTAACCCTAAATAAAGGGGTGTTTTCCACCTGGTGCGTGTTTTCCATAAAATGCCACGTCAACCATCACTGTTAGTCTAGTGAGCATATGCATTCAGTTCGTTAAAATATGTGACGATTTGGCTATTTCTGTGTATTATTAAAAAATGACTATTATTGTCCAAATTGTGAAAATGATAGCTATACACGTAAATTTTGCCTTATTTTTACACATAAGATGGTTTGTCCGTCTTCGCCCTTTTGTTGCCAGCCATGGCAGTTCCCAAGCTGATTTATTCCCAGCTCCGCCGCAGTCGTACTTTCTCCGGCTTCCTCTCTCTCTCACCGGCGCGCGTCTCTCCCCTCCTTCCCTGCGGCGACGCCGGTCGCTACTCCACCCCTTCTCAACCTCCAATCCCTCCCTACCGTCCCCCTCGCGCATTTCCGGCTCCGAATTCACACTCCGTTTGTCGACATCTTCATCACCGGAATTTCTCCACTCGACCAGACGAGAGCTCCCAGTTTACAGACGATCATATAACAGCATCAACTTCGGAGCCCGAGCTTGCTGATTTCGGACTGGATGATGCAAAAGGAGTAGTGCTTACTGATGTTGTCAGTAGCGGAGAAGAGTCGATTCTCCCCGTCCGAGCGCTGATTTCACTGCTGGATGGGTACCACGACGTCACTGGCTTGCCCTGGTTAGTGATCAGCTCGTAGGGTTTGAGATGAGTAGAAAGAGCTCAATTGATTTGAACCTTGCAAAGAGAGTATAGTTGCTTCTGTCGTCGGTTTTTTTAGGAAATGAAAGAATGTTGCAGGTGGATCGTTATTGCATCGGCCACTCTGGTTATGAGACTCGCGCTATTCCCATTACTCGTGCTGCAACTCAAGAAGCTGAAAACTATCTCTGAATTCTTCCCCAAATGTGAGTTTTTGTTTGAATGGTTGTTCTTTTATTTTCTGCAATGCTTCCTGGGTGATTATGAAATGCAGCCAATGATTCCCGTTGTTCTAAATTTTAGTTTTCTGCCGTGTGTTTAAAGCTATCTTTAATTTTGCACGACTAACAGTTGGTTGTGCTTTCTAGTGCCGCCTCCTATCCCACCACCTCTATCAGGAAGGAGCTATGTCGACCAAATTTCTCTGTTCCGGAGAGAAAGGAAAGCTGCAGGCTGTCCATCGTATTTGTGGTTTCTTGCCTCCATCTCCGTTCAGGTAGTATGCCGTCTTCTATTAGGGAGTGATGAGTACTGCCCTCTGTCGACTAACCGCTTTGCTTTTCAAAGACGACACCTAGTGGTCATTTGCGATGTGCCATTTATTGGCGTATAGATACTAGATTGCTAGAGAGCCTTAAGTGCGCAAAAAATGTTCCATTGAATTAGTCATCTTCAGTTCGATGGAACATAACTTATATTAGTCATTGTGAATTCAGGGGTAATACATGCAGCATTGTAGAAAAATCTTTTTTTCTTTTTGGTAAATATTGTAGAAAAATCTTTGAACATACCATTGGGGGTGTGTTTAAACACCTTATAATCAGGCTACCAAAGGCGTATTCAAGAGAGCTGTATTTACCACATCTGGGCCCCTTTATGAACCTCTATGGATTATCTTCCTGGACAATAACTTTGTGCTCATATTACCATCCTTGGTGATTAAAGTCCGTCGCTAGGTCACCGTAACTCCTACCTTAACTTTTGGGATTCTGTAATCTAAATCAGATAGCATAGATGTAAAATCTAAAGAATTCTGGCTCCATCCCATAGTTTGACTACTAGGTTTGGACTTCAATAGAAAGTGTGAAGTTATTAGCATTGGTGTCATTGCAGAAGATATCAGAGACCTGCTCTAAGCTCATCGTGTTCGTGATCTGCATTGCGACCTGCTTCAGCTATTAGCATGAGTTAGGTTGATTCTAGTGAGAACATGCTTGAGGAGCATTGGAATTAGTATGAAAGGGTCTTATTCTGAGAATGCTATTGGATAATGTGTAAGATTTCTTAAGGATTGGTTGGATTGATAAATGGATAGAGGTTCTGTGAGACTACTTAAAGCATAGTGGGAAACAGGTTTCAAAATGTTGTGCCTAATCGTTTTGGGTAAACTTAAAGTAGAGTTCAGGTGCGTTAGGTAAAATATTAGCCTCATATTTGACTTTTTGGCTATGTTTACCATACGATAGTGTTAGATGTATTTTTCATTTTCTTTTTCTGTAGGATGAGGACAGTGACTGACCTGTATTTTCCAAATTATTTCAGATTCCATGTTTTCTCTTGGCAGTAACTAGTATTAGGAGAATGTCTCTTGATCATCACCCCGGATTCGAATGTGTAAGTTAACTGTTGTTTTTTTATTTCATTTTTTGTATGTTGTTTCCCCTTGTTGAATCATTCATGCTTACCTGTTGGATAAATGGAGTATGGTGAAGCAACTATAGAGGAGATATAGTCATAAAGAGCTAATGAAAACATCCAACTCGGTGCCAAGCATATCAAGTATAAAAGGCGATAAACATTTTTTTATTAATCTGAAACATTATAGCTTTGATCACTTTTTCCCAACGTTACCATTAACTGCATAGAGACACTCTGCTGCATCACTGCAGTCAATTATAGATTGTCTCCTTGCTGGCTTCTCCGGAATTGATATCCATGGGATCCTGTATCTCTGACAAAGTCATTTGACACATCTTCTTGGACAATTACATTCTTGGCAGGATAGATGACCTTAATTTTTGCTGCCATGGATAGCTAACGTAATCCACTTCCACAGTGTCTTTTCATATAATTAACTACACATGTAATTTGAATTGTATAGGTCTTGGGGTGTAGCATAACTTAACTCACCAGCTAAGTTTAAATACTCACTACTCACTGCTGATTATGAACTTATCTCTGTATGCCCAATATTCTTACTGACGTAAAATTCATGTGTTATTGAGCAGGGTGGTGCTTTATGGTTCCAGAACTTGACTGAATTTCCTCACGGTCCTTTAGGCTCTATATTTCCAATATTGATTTCGGGTCTGCACTTTCTAAATGTTCAGGTAGTTGGCTCTATATCCTTTTCCAGTTGTGTTGTTTAGCTATTTCTTTGAACGTGTAACATCTGTGACTTCACTTCTCCAATGATCGTCTAACATTTCCTTCTTTGTAAGTGTTAGATATGCAGGTTTCCTTTGTGAGGCCTTGCTACTTATTCATCCGTAGCAAATATATATTGTTTGTTGATTGAAAGATTTTTCACTTCTAATATTTCAGCTGGCTTTTGAAAATTCGTCAGTACGGAAAATGAGTGGGCCATTGGGATTGCTAGCAAAGGTGAGTAGAAAGTATTCTGCGTGTTTCATTTCTTCTGAACGTACAATTTATACTTATTTCTGCATTCTTAGTTGTCTCACAATAGTGTTTTGTGTTGACTATGGCAGTATTACAAGCACTACTTGGATTTTCTTGTATTGCCTTTGCTTTACATTGGTTACTGTATACCTCAGGTAACTGCTTCACATCCATTTCTTGCTTCAGGAATCTTAGGTCCCAGTAATATCTTCTGCTTTACTATGTCATTACCTCTAGCTTCCGTTTCTCTTTTTAAAATTTATACATGGTGACAATTTGTTCTAAGACTTCCAATCTCGCAGACCACAGTTATACAGGGCAGATTAAATTTAAGTAGAAAACATAAGCACGCATATTATCATACTATGTATCATCAATCTTTTTAGGTTCATACATTATATATTCTCTTCGATTGTATCAAATGTATTTTTTTTTTGGTTAATACCCAAAAATAGCCAAACCTTTTATGTTATGCACAGAAATAGTCAATACTATATGAAATACCACAAAATAGCCAAAACTTTCAGTATATCGGACAGTTATGTCCATCCGTCAGTTTCACCGTTAAATTTGCTGACGTGGCTAATAGTAAAATGTACTTAGGATCCACATGTTTTGCCACATCAGGTAAATTAATTAAAATATTTTTTAATTTATGATGTTTTCACCGTTAAATTTGTGACGTGGCTAATGATAAAATGTTTCCCCGTCATCTTGCGCGCCGCCTCTAGATGGTGAGGAATCAGTGATGATGGGAAAGATAAAAGTTTCATGAATGGCGTTCGGAGGGCGATGGCGGAGAGGAATGTGGGGTTAGAGGAGTTGTTGGCGGAGGAGGGGTCGGAGAGGGGACAAGATAGAATAACAACACCGAATGTGTTGTTATAATAACAACAGTATCAATTAAGGGTAGAAAGGTCAACTCACTCAAATAACAAAATAAAAATTCAATTAAAATATTTTCTTTATCCCTACCGTGTTTCTCCTCTAGCCTCCGATCTCCCTCGGCACCGACGGGATTAGGTCTTCTCACCGGCGAGGATTCTCTTTCTCCCAAATCAAATTCCGGCACTCCTCCTCTCAGATCTGTGATACTGCTCTTCCCAGACTCGTTTATGCTCTCCTAGTCCCGCAGCTCCGTCGCTCTTTCCCTCTCCCAGAGCTTCGCAATCATGGCGACGTCGGAAACTGACGACTTTGATGAGCCTCCCATGTTGTCTAGCTGCAAATCGATTTTATCCTATTCTAAATCTCCTACAAATTCACCACTCTTCCCCGTCCAAGAGATTCGCGATCATAGCGGCGCCGCTGCGAACGAGTTTGTCAATGGGATATGAATTTTCTTTGTAGATTTTTTTTGTTTCCTCTCCCTTCAGCTTTTTTGCTCATTGTTTTATAGTGGAACAATATGCAGAAGCAATGCGGCAATGGGTGGCAAAAGGGTGGTCTAATTTCCTCTAATTTCCTCTCCATGTTCCAAACGTGCAGAGATAGTGTAATTGAAGAGGTGCCATTTTTAAATCTCCTTCTTGATGCATATGGATCTCAAGAGGTGCCATTTTTATTTGATCCAAACACTGGGGGATCACAAGAAGATGTTGGTTTACTTGTTCCAGACATATTCAAAACCAGCAACAGAGACCTAGTTCCTAACCAAAAAAAGTACCTAGTATATACTTTTCTCTACTAACTAGTAACTACAAAAGCGTACCAGAAATCTTCAAATCCATACAACAAATCCACTAAAACAAAACAAAAACATCTCAAATCAAATCACAAAATTCTAAAACACATACCAGAAATCTTATAATGCAAACCACAAACGCCGTAAAGCAAAACACAAAAAAGCAAACCAAACACCTCCTAGTGCAGACCACAAATCCATTAAAACAAACCAGAAACCTCGCAAATCAAACCACAAAATTTTCGAAAGCACACCATAAACTTCTTAATGCAAACAAGAAACCTCCTAATGCATACCACAAATCTCCTAAAACAAACCACAAACCCCATAAAGCAAACCATAACATTTGCGAAAGCACACCAGAAACCTCCTAATGCAAACCACAAACACAGTAAATCAAACCACAAAAAAGCAAATCATAAACATCCTAATGCAAACCACAAATACATTAAAACAAACCAGAAACCCCTCAATGCAAACCACAAAATTTTTGAAAGCAAACCAGAAACTTCTCAATGCAAACCACAAACACGATAAAGCAAACCAGAAACTTCTTAATGCAAACCACAAACACGATAAAGCAAACCACAAAAGGCATACAAAAATATGAGAAACCAAACCATAAATCTCACAATGCAGACCATAACATCCGGTGGTCGTTGGCCGTTGACCGGTCAACAAAGACCGTTGACCGGTCAACTAAAATCGTTGACCAAACTCCGATGATCGTCAGTGAGTAGATTCCGGCGCCGATAGGCATATTCCGGCCCCGATGACTAGATTCCGACGCCGGTAAGCATATTCCGACGCCGGTAAGCATATTCCGACGCCGGTAAGCATATTCCGGCGACAGTGGCATATTCCGATGAGAAGCTAGCATATTCCGGCGACGAAAAGCATATTCCGGTGACCGGCGACCATTTTCCGGCGACCGGTGACAGAATTCCGGCGACCAAAATTTTGGGCCGAAAAAATAAAAAAAAATTTTATTTTTTTATTTTTTATTATTTAAACATATTTTTCATAATGACAATTATACCTCTGCTTTGATTTTACACTAGGTCAACTCATCTAATAAAAAGTCATCACAACCCTAGCTTCCTATTGGTTGGAGACTAGTGTTGTTACAATAACAACACAAGGAGTGTTGTTACCGTAACTGGTCCCGTCGGAGAGAGAGCAGATCGGCAGAGTGGTTTTTTCCATTTTTTAATCATAAAATCAAAATCAAAATGTATTATTTTAATTTATTTTGATGATGTGAAAAATATATGGATCTTATGTATACTTTATCGTTAGCCACGTTAGCGAATTTAATAGTGAAACTGACGGATGGTCATAATTGTCTGGTATAATGAAAGTTTTGGCTATTTTATGGTATTTCATATAGTTTTGGCCATTTTTGTCCACAACTTAAAAGGTTTGGCTATTTTTGGGCATTGCCCTTTTTTTTTTTTTTTGCCAAAGATTGTATCAAATGTTTACTCGTACACATAGTTACTGATTTAGTTTTTGTCTGTCTAATATACTCGGCTGGAATTATTTACCAAATGTACTGTTATACATACGTTTTAGCATTTCTCTTCTCTAAGACTGTTCCATTATGTTAATATCATTAAACCAAAAGCATATATTTGTGGTATTGTGCCTATTGTGTGTCAGTCACTGTGTATGAGAATGTCAGTAATTCTAGGTAGGTGTTCCCTTGAAGTACAGTTGAGTCTGTACACGCATAAAAGAAATATTTTTTAAGTTGATGCTGGGCTAGTATTACTTCTGGAACTGTTCACAACTTTTTCGCATGTCTTCTTAAACTGGCGACGTAGTTATTAATTCTGCATATCGGTTCTTTTTCAGGGAAGCCTGGTCTACTGGGTCACTAACAGTTCACTGAGCGCTATCCAGGTTGGTGAACTGGTGTTCCTATCGGATACTTGGATGTTTATTCGGTTGAACGTTTGTTGAATTACGTAATGGAATGATCACACTTAGTGCGGGAGGACTTTGCTCTTCGATAAGCGGAATATGCATAATTGTGGGCATGTCTTTGACACTTTAAGGTTCTCAATCAGGACAAGATAGCACAAAGATTTTAACATCACTATGCGTTAGAAAATTGCAATAACTCTTTATCTGACACTTATATTTGGTGTTTCCTTCTTGCAATACTATTCTCCTTGTGGTGCCAGGTTTTGACAAATCTTTGAAATTTTTTTGCTGCCACATCTTGCTGGTGTCTTAGTGACTCACTTGTGCAGCTATTTATGTATTTTATTTCTACTATTTGGGGTTGCTATGTATCTCGATCTTGGTGTCCGAAAAAGATGAGTTTATAGGAGGATTTGTTAGTCAGTAAGCTAAAGAAATTCTGCAGCATTTCATTCTCAGGAGTCCCAAGGCTCGAGCACGATTGGGTCTACCAGAGAAGGAGTCTCCAGCTGCTGCTGCAAATGTCACAGGAGTGGCTGCATCAGAAACCCCATCTTTGGACCCACCAAAATGGCAAAAAGTTGTTCCTGAAAATTTATCCCCTGTGGAACTCCTTGGAGTGAGTGAATGAATTTAACCTGGATAAAAATATCTGGACTTTTTGGATATGCCAGTATGGATTTGCACTTTCTTATACTTCACCTATGCAACTTTTGACAGATTTCTGTCAAACTCATATCTAGTGGGCACACCGAAAGAGCAATTCCTTTGTTAAGGTGACTTGCTCTTGCAGTTCCTTGCCATTTAATTTAACTTGATGGATGCTAATTGTGAAATTTGTTCACTTCATAATTATTATTGTTATTTTTTTAGAGAGGCACTTGTAAAGGATCCTGACTACATAAGAGCTTTGGCTGTTTTGGGGCAGACTCTTCTACAGAAAGGAGAGTATGCAGAGGCTGCTCAATATTTAGAGCGTGTTATCTCCAAGGTTTTCCCAACCTTCATATTCACTTTACAACCGCAATATAGTTGCTCTTTCTTATGAGAGGTTGCAAATGTCACTCCTACTTAACTAGTTGCTTTAATTTGCACCTCGAACAATCTCTTTGGCAGTAGCTTTGCTTCTTTACTTCCAGGACTAAGGTTTCAATAAACTGAACCTGCTTTGGCTCTTCTTTCAGATTCTTGCTAATGGGGTTCCCACAGAAGGAGAAGAGCTTGATATCTTTATTCTTACTTCTCAGTGGGCTGGAATTTCCAATATAGAGCAGGTCAGAACTCCTAAAACCATTCACGTCCTATAAGGGCGTTTCTTGAATTTGGATTTAGAAAAAGAGCATCTAAATAGTTACATATGACATATATTGATAGCCAATAATTTTGTTTCTCCTTGCCACTTTTGAATCCCTTATTTTGGCAGGGGAAGCATGCAGAAGGACTAGTCCAGCTGGAAAGAGTTGCGAAATTGAAAGAGCCGGCAGAACCAAAGAGCAAAGTCCATTACTTTGATGGCTTGATCATACTTGCCAGGTTTGGCTTTGAACTTGTAATAGAAAAATGTGCCATAGTTGTTTCTGCCCCGGCCTTCTGCGAACTCTCATTTTGTCATCCTTTGAGCTGAACTGCTGCATCACACTATCGTCTTATGTTTCAGTGCATTATACGACCGAGGCAGCAAAGCTGAAGCCGTAGCTTATGCTCGTTTAGCCGCGGCTTATAATCCTGCGAAATACAACAAGTTCTTGGAGATGTGTGAGAATGGAGAAGACAGTTTCGTCGTCGACCTGGTCGGCAGCCGGAGGCGAGACTACTGAAATTAGCATATAAACCGGAACCCTGTACAGTACAGGCAATTGTTTGTGGTCAAAATTCAAATCAAGTACCAGTGTAGACAGAGCAATTAGGTTTAGGTTGAAGAAAGTCTCGATAGTTGCAAACAAAAAAATTTGTAGCGGTAGGCAGGGAGGAATATAAATTATGAATCGTGTGTGACCAATTTTGCTTCTTGTGTGTATGGATGAGTTTGGTTGGAAAAGGGTGTTTCACAAGCTAAATGTTTGGTATGTTTGGACCAGATTTGGACTCCTACATGGCTAGCTATAGCTAGGTTTTAGAGGATGTTCGTTTTGGAGGAGGTTCGTCGTGAGCGAATATTCAAACACCACAATTGCAAGAGCAAGCAAACCCAACGCAGGAAAAATTGGAGGTGGTGGCAAATGGATAGATGGATTAAAATGTTGTTATAATCGTGTTATGTTTTTATATTGGTTAATGTCTAAGTTTTATTAAAAAAAAAATCAGATTTTTTAATTTTATCCAAATCTATCAAAATACTATTAATTATTCAATTATTACCCCACCGTTAACTTTTTTGTTACATTTGTTGACTCTCAACAACACCTATCTGAGTTGGAAGCCAACGTGACCGTCGGGATAATTTCTGTTTTTAATTAAAAAGAAATTTGGAAAAGAAAATCGATCAATGAAATATTGAACCTCTCTCTCTCCTGATTCTTCTTCTCCAATTGTCATTTTTTATGTTTTTTTAATTTCTGACGTGGACGCTGATGTGGATGCTGACGTGGAGATCCATTAGTAAATAATTAACGGTAACATAATGAATTCCCAGACTTTGATTAGTTACCGTATGTATGGTTAATAAATAGTATTCCAATATGTTTGGATAAAATAAAAGAATCTGGAAAAGGTTCGGTAATAAATAGACATTACCCTTTTATATTTTTAGGCTACCAAAAATGTTTCTACGTATAATCATACTTTTCATTTGTAAGTGTAGTTAAAATCTATATTTTAAAGCTTAAAAACTTATATTTTTACGATTCTAGATAATCAGTGGCCCCAATGATTTTGATTTTTGAGAGACAAAACCTGACCGTACGAGCTTGTAAATCTCATTTATTGGCGGGATTTGTGACATGGTAAAAAAACCGTAATGACTGTTTATTTTTATATCCCCGTTTGAGAATAAAAATGCTTAAAGTAAGATAATTTGTATTTAAATACTATGAATCCATGAACAAATGAAACAACACAGAGAACAAATTTTCCCAAATTCATCACAATGCGAAAACTTTTCCAAAATCCAGGTTGACCAAAATCATCACTTTTTATATCCAACAAGCAAAAGACACCCCTAAATGAATTTGTGGATTTATGAATTACGATTCGTGAATTGGATTCAAATGGCATTTAACCTTGAACCAATATGAAAATTTCGAAAAGTTTAGTTATTAAAATACTTTTATAAAATTTGAGTACCAAAATGCAAACAATATTTTTTCATTGAAATATTTCATTTGACTTTGAGGCATCAAATTGTAAAATATAAAATACATAGGTGCTCAATTACAATTTTCCAACAACCCATCAATCCAATTCGTGAATTCACTAATCCGAGGAGGAAATATGTGCTACTCTAACGGGACGGGAATTGGTATAAATGCGCAGTAAAATATATATTGTTTTTTTGGGAGGTGATGTGGACAATGAAATATTTTAGCACAAAACGTTCATACCGAGTTAATATAACGATTCCCCGATTCTCAAATTATATATTATTTTATAAGAAGTTTAAAATGTTGTCAATGATGAGGAATAACAAAATTATCATTCTATTTGTTCACAAATTTTATAGAGTACACATATTTACAACCAACAGCTTCGAGAGAGGCAATAAGCAATGCCGTGCAATTGCGATACAGAGCCTTTGAACTCACGGAACCCGCAAACCTAACGCTGCAAACAACACGTACAACAGCAGGAGGAGATCCCTTGTTAAATCCTTCGATTAATCATTAATCTCGTCATTAACTAACGGGGAAGATCATTAAACAGAAAATAAAGTCGCCTTGCCTTTCTTATATCTTCTTAAGACACGGCGGCTGGCTACGTCCCACTCCGTCAACTCGCCGGCTAACCTTGGCCCGCTCCGTCGTCATCTTATATCTGCGTGTACAAACAAACAACATGTTATAAAAAAACATATTTCTCCTTTTTCTCTCCTTTACCTTCTCCGTCTCCTTCTCCTCCACCAAACCGATTCCTCGGATCCTTCCTCATGGAGCCGGCCGTACTGCAATTCTAGGGATTCCGATCATTACACAGAGCTTTGGAAAAAGGCGTAGTTCGAGCTCGCCGAGGGGAGGTTTTGTCTTGTTTCTTATTATAGGGCGCATGGAATTCGAGGTCGCGGCTCCAAATCCGCTCTCGCCGTCACCCTCCAAGGCGTGCGAGGAGAAATTGGACGAGGATCGCCTTCGTGTCAAGCGGAAGACCTTGCAAGCCGTGCTTGACCAGTGTCAGAGAGCTCTCGAATTGCTCAACAACGCTGACGGCGCTGCTGCTGCTGCTGCCGATGATGATGACCGTGTCCCTGACCTCGAGGAGTTTAGGGATAGGGAACTCACTCGACGGAGCTCTTTCGATTCTCTCGCCGATCGAGAAGCTGATGAGGTATGGGGTTTCGGGCTTTGATTGAATCCGACTTGTTAGAAAAACCGCAATTCTACAAGGCATCTCATAATTAGCTTGCTTTGCTATTTCGAGGCTTTTTTTTTTTTTCCGGGCGCGCGTCAGCGTCATCTTGTTGTCTATCTATTTGGTAATTTTCTGAATCCGCTGCCTCAGCTTGCTAGTTAATCTATTCTGGTTGTGATTTGTGAGCGGCGGATCTTCTCCGTAAGAGTTAGGATTCTGATCTTTTTGGGTATTGGGGAGACCATGTGGAAGAGAAAATAACATACTCTGAAAGAGACCCACACCACGAAAAGAAGCTTGTGCAAATTCTGCGAGAGCCATGGTGGAAGGGGGGAATAAGGGGCATATGCTTCACTGATATGAATGAGATGGTGAAGAATGATGTGATTTGTTTGCGAGAACATTCGTGATATCAATGTGTACATTTTGATTCAGCGGTTGATATTCCTTGTCCATTGTAGTTTATAGGCATGAATGTTACTGCATCTTGCACTCACATGTCAAGTAGGTAGTTGCATCGCTAGATAACATCGTCTACAGCATGGTTCCTGAAGCTGTCTTTAACTCTGCGGCATTATGGCTTTTGTGGCGCAGCTGTGTGACCTTCTCAAGTCTAGAGTTGAATGCCCTGACTTTCTTGAAAAGCTAGAGTGTGCCCAAGCTTCTCTTCCACATGAAATTACTGGTATGATCCCAAGACGCTCAATCTTTTTTTTTTTTTTTATGCTTGTGTTGGTTTTCTTGCAGCGCCTCTGGTTTGACTATTGAACTGTATCAATGCTCCATTTCTTAACCATGCTCTCTACTTGAACCCTTATAATGGACATTCTGTTGTAGGAGAAGAATGTAGTTCTTGGGACATGGTAAATGAGAATGATCTTTGGGAAGGTGAAATCGGTCATTCAGAACAAGAAGACTTTGTTCTTGTTCGGCAAGAAGATATAGTAGACGGTATTGCCTGCTTCATGGCTGCTTATCTTTTGTCCCTTAAACAGACTAAGGTGTGAAACATTTCTACTTTTTGCCGCATATGTTGTTTATTTGTTGTAGTAATGAGCATGCTGATCAATGTTGGATAGCATTTCATCATCCTCTTGCTGCTTCTCTCTTTTTTAATGAGTTCATCTTGGATCTTTTGCATCTTAACTTGACATTGGACCATCACTGAGCCTTTGCAAGGCTTTTCATTGGACAGAATTAAACAGGGACAAGCTCTTTAGTATCTGTAATTAGATTTCCTTGTAGGTTGTGTATTACTTTGTTGCCAACTTCAATGGACTGTATATGTTAAGAACATAATTTGATTTATTTCCCTGTCGGTGGTGTAACTGTGTAAGAAAGATGGGATTTTCAGCCTAGTGATTCACTGTTAGAGAGACTGGAACTTGATTTCTTGTTTTGATATTAGTGCCATCCAGTATGATTGCTCCTTAGAGGAAGTCTGGTAATGCTTATAAACATGTCTCTCTTGTTCACAGGACCTGACCCCAAATCAACTGCAGGAAGGTTGGTTTGAACATTTTACTAATGGCCTAAATTCCTTTTCCATTCTACATGCCCTCTTTTTCTTTAATGGGAGTTGCTGAGTTACCCTGTATGGTTTTTTGTATGTCAGCCCTCAGCAAAACATTCTCTGTTAAAAAGAGAAAAGGAAAGCTTCGGAAGGCTTGGGATGGAAGCAAAGTAATTTACAACGTCGCGTCTTGGGGGGCAACAGCCATCGGGTAATGCTCTACTGAAATTTGATAACTGAATTAACCATATTAACTTGTGAATTACTGATTTTATCACCTTATAAAAACCACACAGGATCTACCAGAACCCAGTAATACTGAGGGCTGCCACTAACGCCTTCTGGACCTCATGCCACATTATCTCAAAGCTTCTCTGAGTTAGGCTGTTGTGGGTTAGGACTTTCGGAGAACGCTCTCTCGGTGATGGGATTCCTTCAGCTCGCCATGTCACATCCATGCTTGTTCTGCATGGCAGCTATGCTGTATGTCAATTCTTTGTCGTTGTTCCACACAATGATTTGATTTCGGCTTATTTGATTTAATCTTGTAAATGTCTGCCTGTGTCGGGTGCTAAGTGTTCTTTTCCAGTGTGAAATCTAAGTTCATTGCTAGGAAGGATCCTCTGCTTGTGTAAGCTCGCTCGCTCGCTCTCTCTCGGTCTCCTGTCTCCTTTCATGATCTGATGTATATAGTCCTGTAAATATTCGAATCTTATGATGTTTGAGTTGGCAATGCTATGGTAGGTGATGACTCAATTCTGTTTCATTCAAGCTATAGCAGCAGTACACATTTTGGTGAGCCCTCGAAACTGGAAAGGGAGATTTTACTACAGCACTTAAAAACACCAACGAGTCTCAAATTTGGTTCTGTAAACACTACATACAACATAAACACAATGGCTCTCAATACATTTTTAGCAAATGCTACATACAAACTAAACTATCTTCTTCAGCTCCACTCAGTGGATGAATAGGTCTTGTGGTCGTGCGCTTATCATGCCTCTCCATTTTGAACATGGAGCAACTTTTTGGTCCTCGTGGTGGTTTCCATGATAATGATTCATCTCATTTTGAATCATTCTCACTCTAGGTTGACCTTTTGTGTGCTTTCTGTCATTCGGGGTGGGGGAAATCCTTTGTTGAGCGTCTTAGTGTCCTTGTGGTGTCGTTTGACAAAATACTCAACGATACTGAAGAAATGTGATCCACGATAGCTAATATTGGCATTGCATGGAGGTCAACACACACACTATTAAGGCTCTCACACGTGTTCGTTGTCTCTATGTCGTACCTAGACCCTTCGTCTTGATTAAGTATTAAGTTTTGAAGATAGGTAACAAATCCAAACCTGTCACTATACACGTTAGTCATGGCCTTCTTTCCACTGCATACCTCTTTGATGGTGATGGCGGATTGTGCCTCCACCATTGATAATGATATAACCATTGTAATTATTGATAATTATTGGTAAGTTGGGGGGGACGAGTTATAGTGTTAACTCTATAGGGTTTTTTTCCCTACCTCCAAGTAATGACATGAGAAAAAATAGTTAGTGACGCTACCTCTAAAGAGGACAGCAACAGAGCTTTAGGTGCCACTCTATACAAAGAACCACACTAAAAACTATACAAAGAGAGCATGAAACTAGGAGCCGATGACACTCTTGGAGCAGTGAGCCGCCTATCGAATCTTCCACTGTTCTACGGTCCAGATGTCGAATCACCACTTCAGGATCACCTAGCAGCAAGGTGCTTTGCTAGATAGGGATCGAAAACTCCTTGGTGCTGAGTTCCCAGGCCAGTAGAACTTGCCCGTCTGTCCCATGTACGACGAGGCCAGACGAGCAACCAGAACGACAAACAGCAGCATCAAAGAAGATCTTCACAAAGTCTGGAGGCGAGCGATGCAAAACGGAAGGATGAGAGGGCACAAGACTGAGAGAGAGGTCCTGGGGGCTGAAAGGCTAAGGAAAATTCAATGACTTGGAAATGGAATTGACGTGCAAGAGAACGGGCGTGTGGCTGGGTATATTCAAAAACCACTTTGTTAAGAGATTTCCAGATTCTCCAAAAAAGGCAAACGCATGGGAGAATGTGGGTATGGAAGTTTACTGAAAACATAACATTGTCGCCACCATATACTAAAGTTCGAAGTTTTGGCGGAAGCAAGCAAATCACTTAATCCCACTAAAAGTCCATAGCATGATGACAAGAGGGCAATGAAAGAACAAATGTTCAATAATCTCTTGATATTCCCAACAATCTAGATATTTGAGAAAGCAATTTACTTCATGAAATTGAAGAGCCACCATAGTTTGCAATGTCGTTTAACATAATACAAATACAATTTAAAATAATACAAACCATTCTTAGTGGAAAGCCATATCCGCTAATCACCCACTCTTCAACTTTGTCGTGATTTATTAACCCTAATTAATTTTCTAACAAAAAAATTTGTCATACCATTTGGCAAGAAACCAAAAATTGAGTTTTAGAATTCACATTCTACTGCCGATGGGCCTCAAATTAAAATGAATTGAAGGAAATGTCATCAATTCTAATAAATTGAGCTAATGGCTCATTAAGTTAATTGTTGGCTAAACACAAAAGGAATCAGAATTAATTATTAATTAATGACGTTTTTAACCACGGCCCGAAATAATGGGTGTCTTTCAATCCGACGAGTAAATGCTCTTAAAATTCCAACGGATGAAGCTTTTCCGATGAGGATGAAGTTTGCGCCACTGATACTTTGAAAGTCAGAAATTAATTCTGAAAGTCATAAATTAATTCTTTCTATCCCATAATTTGAGATATAAACCAACCATAAAGGTCGTAGAGCGCCATAAAAGGATCGCTTTGGTGATTCATTAATCACTTGTAACGGATCATTAAAGACCCAATAACATCAAATAACATAACTGATGTATTAAAACCAAATAGGACGAAACAGACCAATGGAGCCATTAATTGGTTCTTTACTTCTCGCCTGAGGAAAATTGATTGCAGGGACCGCCGGACAAACAAAGTCGCCGGAGGCAAGCACCATGCTAATAACTTTAATTTTCATTTATTTTTAAGTTAAATCTGAAAATTAATAGGCTTTTATTTGGTATTTCAAGAAATTAATTAGATTGGAAAACATCTCTATATTTCTTAACAGAAGTTGAAAAAACTAGTACTGGAAAATTACTACTATTAAATTAGTAGTGATTTTATATTTTCTTGTAGTGATTTAATTGTATCATTAGTGATTTACTCATTTTACATTAGTAGTAGTAATTGATGGATTTTAGAGAGAAATGATAACATAATCACTATTAATATGAATCACTAGCATAAAATCAATGCGTACAACTGGAAAATCACTGTTAGGTAAAGAGGAAACCACTTTTCAAAAATACATACTACACAACACAATCGTTTAAAAATAACACACATCACTACTTGTCTACTACACAATCGCTAATGAAGAAAACACACATCATTTATGTAGAGATTATCATCTCAACTTGGCGAGAACAAACTTCTCCGGCTGCTGCTCGTCCATCTCAGCCATCATGGTGGCACTGGTGGCTCTGATGACCTCACCGCCGGATCGGCTTCATCTGATCTTATTAGAACGGTGCTAACTCCTTGGGAGGTTAGCACCTAATCTCATTCCACGCCGTTGCTGAAAAGAAATTGGAAGGAAAAAAAACTCGTCGCTCTATATATTTAGAGATAAATGAGTTCAAAGAATTAGCTTCTATACACTGAGGATCACTGCAAAACACTAGAAGAGGACAATAACACAAACACCAGGCAATGTTAAAGGGTGTGGTTAATCTCTAGAGCAGCAGAGGGGCTGGTTCTCCTTCCTTTACAAAATCGGTAGCAGCAGCAGCAGCACCTGACTATTAACCCTATTAGGCTATTACCACCAGCCTACCACTCATTGTTCGGACAAGGAAACGTGTATCAATCAGTAGTAGTAGCCGTTATCTTTGTGATTCGGTGCATCCTTGCAGAGCATTGAGCGGACTTCCATGATCGATCTGGGTGGCTCAACATCCTTGTCTTGTATCGCATTCCCGAGAAGCTCCTGCATTTGCGAGGCGAAGGTATCGTCCAACACCTGCCCACCAAAGTAGATTGAAACCAACGCGTCAAGCATTTCATCAGTAAGCCATAGACTGGAGCAGAGGAGTTCGATAGGGATTAGTGAAACTACAGTTGGGGGTGATGGAGTTTTAACTTACAGAGACTGCAACTCGTGAGCCTTTGTACCACGACCTATTCTCTTTTCTGTTCTCCATGAAACTCAAAACATCCTGCCCCATTCTGTCCCAATATCCACGACATATTGCAATGAAGACATGAGTCTCGAATACTGAATGGAGGTGATTCACAGTATTGGTTAGTTGCTCTTTCAGGGACTGCATTCTGCCCCTCATATCCGATTCTCCAACTGGCTCTTTTGAATCCTGAAGTATCTTTTTCAACTTTGTCGCATTCTGCAACTTCGTCTGTTGTATAACAACCAGAACAATGATATGAGAAAGAGTTATAATACCAACTTAGAAACATTAGAGGCTGAGGAAAAGACAAGATTAATATGCAGGTTTTTCAACTGGAAATTTAAAAAACTAATCTCAAATAGTATAACTAAAACACTAAATGATGCATGAAACTTTAAATGCATCAAGCTACCCACATTCTCTGCCAGTTTTTCCACAACAGCTTGCAGATAACTCCGAAACTTGGATCTCAGCATCACAGTCACTTCACTTAGACGTTCCCCAGGGAGTGTGTTGCCCCCATCAGGTATGCATGTCCCCCAAGACTTGAACCTCGTCTCAATCTTGGGACGCAAGATATCTAGCATTCTCTTCATTGAATTCAACAGGATCCCAAGCTGAAAATGAAACCGATAACCATGATTTAAGAACGTCTTGAGGTCATTAATTATACTGCCAATTGTTAAAAAACCCAGCAATCCGAGAGGAACATTATTTTTTGGTACAACAGAAAGCAGAAGAATCATACCTCATCAGGAACAGTGTAAGAACACACGGAACGTTTAGTAAGCTTCTTGACATAGTTAAATCCAAACTTCTTTGGTGCCAGGTTCTCTTTCATTGGTGCCAGAACATCATCATACTGCTTGTCCAATGCTTCCACAACGGCCTTCTCAACATCAGCAATTGCCTTTATTGCCCAATACAGAGCCAACCATCCATCAGTTCATAATAAATATCAACGGCATGGCATAATATTCCTATACCGAGTTCAGGGCTAAGTTGCCACCCACAAAATTGAGAAGCAGACATCTCAGACATCTGCTACACAATAACTAAATCAAGATCATAAACTCCTGAGCCAATCTGTTCCATAGTCGAAATTCAAATGGAAGCACTTAACTAAGGACAACTGGTCTAACGATGTACAATTCCATTTAGTTCCAATGTATGGTCAGAGAATCCTGTTTTTTCTTTTTCGTTTTTTCGCACAATGCTTAGTGTTGGGAAATTGACTCAAATGATTATCTGGTATTCAACTGGATAACACAAGACAGTTAGAAGGCTTCAGGGAATTCAAACTCAAATTTAACTTACATTTTCTAATACAAAGATGTATTCTGGCCAGCGGCGGATAATGATTTCATAGTCATCCAGAGTCTCTCTCAGCCTCTCATACATTTCATCAATAAAGGGAGTGGTAGAATGTTGTGTCCTAACACCTGACCACTTCACCTGTAAATTAAACGGGGAAAAAAAATTATAAGCATCATCTCATCATCTAACACTCGATCAGATTTATGAATCAATATCGTCTTCCGAAAGAATTACAGACACAAAAAAGAAATCCATTTT